GGATAACCGTGTTCTCTTAGCCTCCATGTAAAAGGCTTAGCTTCTACCAATAAAGATCATTTTGCAAATGGCTGCTGTGTAAAATGTTTTGTTGAGTTTTGTTGAATGATTGATTCTGGTGGGCATCAGGGAGGGAAATGGATGCTGAAAGACCTGCTGAGGCTTGTGGCTCAATGCCACCCTAATAGCAAGATTTGAAACAATGGAATCTGGGATGGCACCTGCTTTGTGTTCCAGTTTTAAGGAAAAGGAGGGTATCAATACATTTCATATATAGTGGGCCCTTGGTATCTGATGGTTTGGTTCCAAGACCTCCCGTAGACACCAAAATCCATGGATGCTCAAGTCTCCTTATATACAATGGGGTATGATGACGATGAGGATGATGAGGATGAGGATGTAGTGGGAACTTGGTATCTACTAGGATTTGGTTCCAGGATCCCTGTGGATACCAAAATCCATGGATGCTCAAGTGTCATTATATACAATGGGGGATGATGATGATGATGATGATGATGATATAGTGGGAACTTGGTATCCGTTAGGATTTGGTTCCAGGACCCCTGTGGATATCAAAATCCGTGGATGCTCAAGTCCCATTATATACAATGGGGTATGATGATGATGGTGATGAGGATGTAATGGGAACTTGGTATCTGCTAGGATTTGGTTCCAGGATCCCTGTGGATACCAAAATCCATGGATGCTCAAGTCCTATTATATACAATGGCACAGTAAAATGGTGTCCCTTATATAAAAATTAAGGGAAAATGGCAAAATAAGGTTTGCTTTTTGGATGTTTGTGTACGTGAGTGCATTTGTGTGTGAATATTTTAAAAACTGTGGTTGGTTGAATCCACAGACGCAGAATCTGTGGATACGGATGTCCAATTGTAATATAATGCAGCTCATAACTTGGGTCGCCAAGTGGTTTGAGCACAGTGGAACACACTCCCTCAATGGAGATTTTGGTGGAGTCTCCTTCCTTGGAGGTCTTTAAGCAGAGGCTGGATGGCCACCTGTCAGGGATGCTTTGATTGGGAGTTCCTGCATGGCAGGGGGTTGGACTGGATGGCCCTTATGGTCTCTTCCAACTCTATGATTCTATGATTCTATGATTCTACAAGACTATGACTCTGGAGACATGGGGAGCAACCAGCTCGGCCATGTAAACCCACTGGATGACCTTGGGCAAGTCACACTCTCTCATCCTCTGAGAATGGCAATGGTAAAAAAACCCTCTGAAAGAAACTTCCCAAGAAAACCCCATGATAGATAGGATCACCTTTGAGTCACCAGATGTCAGAAACAACTTGAAGGCACACAACAACAACAACAACAACAACAACAACAACAACAACAACAACGCTACAGCAGCTTTTCCCAGCCTGGCACCTTCCTAATGTGCTGGACTACAGTTCCCATCACCTCAGCTAGCAGGATTTTGGAAGCCATAGTCCAAAAAAAAGAAAAGGTGTTGTCCATTTCTGAGTGGTGGCTTGGCTTCAAAAAAAGGTAGCACTTGAGTTCTTTGGAACCTCAAAAAAAATTATTCCTAATCACAACAAATCAAGGAAAATAGTAAAGATTCCTTCCTCTGCGAGTCCTTATTGATCTTGTAAACCATGGGACCTCTGATTCAAGGATGCCTTTGTGGATGGAGATAAAAGGTGTGGGGCTCCTCACTCTCCAGCCAGGGATCTGGCTCCTCTAGGGCACCTGCTCTCCCCACTGCAAGCCCTTTCCACTCAATAGGATCACAGGCAGACCCTTTAATCTTGGCTAATCATTTCTTAATTCGAAAGTCACGGTCCTCCGGCTGGAGCCCTGCTTGCAGCTGCCACATTGGGAGTAATCCTCCCTTCCTTCCGCTTTGGCCCTGCCACCTCCAGCATCTGCAGGCTGGCATCAGAGATGGAGGAAGAAAAGCCAGGGCAGGGCAGGCACAGGTCAGAGGAAGAGCATGGCAAATGGCTTCAGAGATGGGGAGCAGCCATAGCCCAGGGGTTAGGGTTCCCCGATCTCGTGGCCTGGCCTCGAACCTCGTTTTGAGGGGTCCTCTCTAGGTGGAAGGCAAACATTCAAATTCTAAAGTTTTAGAGGGCTCAACTTTGGGTGAAACGTTGCATGCAAAACTCCTGCTCAGTTAGTAGTAGTAGTAATAATAATAATAATAATTTTATTTATACCCCGCCTTTTGCCGAAGCAGTCAAGGCGGCTTTACATCTAAAACAACACATAAATTAGGATTTGCAAGGCTTCATTGATTATTTGCTGCAGTTTTCTACAGTTCTCCAGAGGGATCTACGGATGTAAAGTACTGCACTTAGGCAGAAATAAATGAAATGCATAGATATAGGATGGGGGACACCTGGCTTAAGCAGACTTATAAGTGTGAAAGGGATCTAGGAGTCCTAGTAGACCACAAGTTGAACGTGAGTCAACAGTGTGATGCAGCAGCTAAAAAGGCCAATGTGATTCTAGGCGGCATTAATAGAAGTATAATGTTTAGATCAAGGGTAGTAATAGTGCCACTCTATTCTGCTTTGCTCCAGCCTCACCTGGAATAAGACTGTGTCCAGTTCTGGCACCACCGTTCAAAAAGGATGTTGAGAGGCCAAAGGTGGGTGGCCAAAATGGTGAAGAGTCTGGAAACCATGAAGCCCTCGGAGGAGAGACTTAGGGAGCTGGGAATGTTTAGGCTGAAGAAGAGATGGTTAAGAGGGGATATTCACCCCAAGCCATTTTGTATGTCTAGCCTGGGTGGTTAGCAAACTGGCTGGGAACTGGGTGACACAGAAGCACAAGTAGCACACCTTCCAACATTTCACAGATTAAAATGGGGAGACATGTGGCCAAATTGAACAAATACTGTTTAAGTATTTGAAGGAGTGTTATATTGAGGAGGGAGCAAGCTTGTTTTTTGCTGCTCTAGAGCAGGGGTAGGCAACCTTTTTGAGCCAGGGGCCGGGT